GTCTGTAGTTTGAATGATGGATAGCTCTGTGCAATATTCATACTCGATAGCACAATGGACATAATGAACACGATTGGATTGTTGTATATCTTGCCCATAATTGTAACAATATCCTTGAAACTGGATAGATTGTTAAATGATTGTGTAATCATTACTGATATTTATCCAAAAACAACTTGCTCAATTCGATCGAGTTATTATAGATTTGTACAAATTAATAAATATATTTATTGGGAGGAAATATCAATGCTCATTAAATAATAAGCTTGTCATTGATCTCAAAGAAAATAACAACTCCATCCATATCAGGCTGGTCGCACGGAAGACCCTTGATTGGTTCAAGCAAAGTGTTGGGCTTTGAAGCGTCAATCTTGTAGTAAGCCTTTTTTAGAACATGGCCTTTTCTTTGGAATTGAATTTCAAACGATGGAGCTGGAGGATTAAAGTACGAATCTTGAAGTTTTCGTGTAAAAACTAGTTCCACCTTTGCTGCTTCAGGAATCCTACCAATGATATTCACCATTGTTTCAAGGCTGATTACACCTTTGTGATCTTTGGATTCTCCAAAAAGTCTACATGAAGTCTTCAAATCAATACCTTCCGAGTTTCGAGCTCTTGATAACCAATTAAAGTTCAAACCAGGTATTTGAACAAAATCGGGCCACTTTTGGTTTGGCGGTGAAAGAAAAGGTACAGTAAATGTTATACCATCGAGCCTGTTCAGATCGAGTATAGAGACGTCTTCGGAATCAGGTTTATCAATCTGAAGCTGGTATACCAAATTCAACAGAAACGGTTTTAGACCAATTCCCTTGACGCCATTAGAATGTGAGGCCAAACAGACTGTCGAACATAGCAAAGACTCGAGAAACATTCCATCATTGCTATCCTGTGCAGCATTCGAAAAGTATAGAATATGGCTGCGATAATCCGGATTACTCTTGGCTTTCATCAAAAAATGTGCATATGGCACCTGCTTGCCATCCCCTGCATAACAGGCGGAAAATCCCTTTCCACCCATCAACAGCAGGTAAAGCAAAATGTCGTTCTTTAGCTCTGGAAACACCGAAGACGGTTCCCAAGAAGCAGAATGGTCTTGAATACATCCATCATTCATCAATATAAAGGTTTTTTTTCCATCTAGCTGGGCAAAGTGTGAGTGAATCAATGGAGTCGATTGGTTTTTCAGATTGGTCGATTGGCTTTCCAAATCGGTCAGTTGACAGTGAGCGTTATGAAACAGCCGAACCTGTCCAAGTTGTCCGTAAAGATTTCCAAATATCTTTTTGACTGATTTCAGTTTAATAAACGCTGCTTTCATCAATTCGTCAAAATCTGAAGCATTGTTTGCGATTTCTTCTGCGACAAGCTGCGCAAAAAGTGGCCTTGAGTTGAGTATGATAGATTTGAGATATCTTGGTAGTGTTTGTGGCAATCCTGTTAGTTCTAGTTTTACTGCTGGAAATTCCCCAAACACATGACACCACGGCATTGGAACATCACTTCGACTGCTTCCTCCAATGCTGAGTTGCAGTTTGGCTGCTCTGGAATCTGTTCCCATCATAACGAGTCCCAGACCCAATGAGCGGAAGCAATTTCGCACAAATCGCACTTTTTTTAAGGACTGGTCTGAAATAGCAATACACTCGTCCAGAATAAACACTGGTCTGTGTTGATGGATTCCTTTGGAAGTCATCAGCTCTTGGACATCTTTGCCAGTCTTTGGGCCAATACTGACTGTGGGTGACTGAATTCTGTTGGATAGCAGTTCAAAAATAAATCCATACATATATAGACTTTCTTTGAACAGCGAACCACAGCTTGGAGATGAAGTTTCAGAAGTGTACATGTGCTCATCTTCTACATAACATTTGCTGAACAACTTTGAAATGTTTTCAAAGTTGCGGTAGATTCTTTGTGATGTCGAACCGGGAGGATCGAACAGGAGATAATGCACTCTCCTCCGATCACCAATATTGGCTTTGATATTAAAGCCCATCTGACTCTTTCCTGAGCCAGATGAGCCCTCGAGAAATGCAAACGGTAAATTTTTGAAGCTTGACCCCGAAAATTCTCCAGCTGTGACTGCAAGGATAATTTTTACAATTTTCACGACACAGTCGTCATCTTTTAAAGAATCGGCAATGTGATGATACTTTAAAAGTGACACAGTGGTTTCGGTATCTGCAGTTTCTTCGAATGTTCCTGAAACCATTCCGGTATTCGAACCTACTGGAGCTCCTGACATTGAATTAGAGATGCCTTGTCCAGTACCATTGTTGGCCTTGATGACAAGCGGTTGGTTGTAGGAACCAACCGGCTCCTGAATTGAGGCCAGGAGCACATCCCCAGCAATGGCTGGACCATCCACCACATAATGGATGGTGAGTGGCCCATAGTCTTCTGGGATACCAGCAAGCCTTCTAGTTGGTTCAACAACGATGGCTGCAACCAAGTCGGAAATATTAGGCTCTTCTCCTTCAGGGACAGGCAACTTTTGAGTAAATAATGATACCGGAGTGTTTTCAAGGTATTTCACATAAATCCTGGTCATTTTGGAGTTTATGAAGGAAAGGAATAGAATAGAATATAGAATAAAGTGAAACAATGAAATGACAAAAAAAGATCAAAACGTGAATTTGTCTCACATTCAAAACTCAATATCACGTGAACAATGTGAGACAAATTCACATTTTGAATAGTGTTTAAACATTTGTCATGTGTTTATTTGTATTGTTCAATCAAGTGTCAATTCAACTCAATTGATTACGTCATTCATATAATGACTCGAGTCTTTTATTCAACATTTTAATATTCAATTATTGTTAATCAGTCAATTGTTGGATTGGTAAATACGCTACAAAACATTCATTTACATGCTGAATCTGACAAGTGGATAATGATTGTTCCAATCAACACATGGATTGAATTGACTGCAATATTGTCATTGATTGCAGTCACTGTTGACCAATACACTGTAATACATTGACAGTCTTGACATCAACATTGTCATTCATGTCAAGTTGTGTGTAGTTGCCAACATCACACCACAGCAATACTGTTGCTCTTGGACGTATGACAACATATTAATGTAGTATAGTTTTGGAGGAATATCAAAAGTAAAAGATGAGAATGAAGGAATGAACCAATGAGTTAATTGTGTTTATTGATAAAAGAAAACATTGATCATTTTATAAAGATGTAAATAACGGTTATGCGTATCCGTGAATTAGACGTCATAGCTGAGAAAGTCTCTTGTTATTGCACAAGTGATGGCTGCGATAGACATCGCCTCAAACATATATGCGTCGCGTATGAGTCTCTGAAATATCTCGTTATTTATGATATTTCACATTACCAATGTTTAACAACTCTGACACAGTAATACGGACTCGTGCACCGAGTTGAGTTGTCCAGCAATCGATTTTGGAAATTTGTTTGATGTGATGGTTTGAGATGGATACCAAATGACCACGAATGTTACCAATTGTCATGACAGTTGATTGTTGATTCAAAACGTTGTTTATTTGGTATTAATGGTTAGAGTGTCACTCATTGACCTGTCAGATCAGCAAGTGTTATTTCGGTGAGTTTCGTGTTTATTGTAGTCACATCAACATCAGCAGATTGAACTACGGATTTGCTTGACAGAGTTGCAGATCCAGTTGGATTGATAGACGAGCAACTGTGCAAACAACTGTGCGAGTTGCAGGATGTTTGAGATCCAACAAAACACTGTTTGCACACAAGTTTGCGAATACAGATTGTCAGACTTGACCATCAACTCACAGTATAAATTGCATGTACGACAGTTTACACGCTTACCCATCAACAATAAACCCACATAATCAGCAAATCATCAACGAGCAGCCAGTTCAGTGGTCGGATTGATGATTTTTGTTGGAGTTTCTGGATCAAACTTGACCTGATTTGTACCGAGTTGGGTCATGACTACAAGTTTGACAGCAATAGATTGATGTACTAATAATCTGATCGTGTTGTTGATTGTATGCATGTTGGTAATCCGTTGCAGATTGATACGGAATGTGACCAGAATACCACAAAGTTTATTGAGTGTGCACATTGCATTCGATGCAAAACGCAATAAACAAATGCGAGTTGCAGCATTCATTCAAGGTTTGACACCAGTCGATACAGCATTGACCACAATGGTATTTATGTCAACAATTGCACGACTACGGAATAAGTTGATTGTTGCTTGGCATTCCGTATCGACAGTCTGCATGTGTGTGCAACGTGCTGTTGTCACATATGAACAACTTGGATTGACTTTGTGGACAAAACACAGTCACTGTTGCGGTGATGTCCACAGTCGTGGAAATGGTTTCGAATACCACAACTGGTATAACAACTGCATGTGTTGGTGAGCAACCAGAGTCCAGTTTGACCAAGATCTGTTCCAGTAATGATCGAATGACACTGTCGTGTTTGGTCATCATGACAACAATGTCATTGGTTTGGCTCTGCAACTGACCAAATGTGCTAGTCACAGCGTTTCCAATTGAGTTCATATTACTTGTGAGGATCGTGAACATATGATGGCATATTGATGGTTGTCATTATTGTCAAGTGTGTTGCAGTTGATTGAAGATGTAAAGGAATGAATCGATATTCGATTGTGTTGTTTATTAACAAGGAAGTGAGTGTGTTTATAAAATGGAAGAAACCAAGAAAGTCATGTGAATCCCAGTTCAAACGTCATTGTTGATGGTTTTTGATTGTTAAACTATTCAGAAATGTCTCACATTCACACACTACTAATGTCTCACACAATGCAAGTCAACACTCTCACACTAGTAATGTCTCACATTAATGAGACATTAATTCTGGTGTAAATTTAACTAATTTCCAAATATTTAAATCGTGTGAATTGTCTTGAAATATCCCAAAATTTTGTTATTTTGACTCGATTAAAAAGTCGATTTTTGTTTTACAATTTGACAAATAAATTGCTTTTTTACTCTTTTTCTTTTCATAAAATGAACACAAACGACCTATTCCTCAATGTCCAATATGGCACACTTACTGCTGAAATCAATGTGACTGACTTTGAAGACTTGAGTGACGTTCATGATGCTATCAAGTCTGAGTATGATCCTGCTATGGCTGACATCGATGCTCATCAACTCCAACTCTACACCAACACCAACAAGGACCAACTAATCAACACCTGGGCTTTACTCGACTCCCTTCCTCAATAATACTTTACTCAAGATGGTTCATGTGTTGTTATTGGTTGTTTACCACCACCTATCAGGGAACCAAGCAAAAGTGCCATTTTTGATGCAGGTTCTACTTCTTTATCAACAGCAAACCATCAAGACTTTTCTCCTAAACGACAACGTACCAAACCCAATGTTTTGACAACCCAGTTCAAGTCGTTTGCAAACGCCCAGCTGGTCAATGAATGCATACAGTCGACAGATCATGTCCTTTTCCCATACACCCAAGACAAAATACAAAAACTATATGTTAGAGAGTGCTATCATGATGTGTTTGGCTTGCTTTTGGATCAAATTGATTGTGGCATGGAATAATTTGCAATATCTGGAACATCAGGCATCGGAAAGTTACTGTTTTTTGTCTACATATTGCATCGCTTGATGGATGACTTTACCACGAAAAGTCTGTCCTTGAAGCCAAACCGGATTGTTTATCAAGTGGGATCCTCGTACGAATGCTTTGACTTGCAGCAACAACTCGTCACAGAGCTTGGACTTGAAGTGGCCAATATTGTTTGGAAACAAGGCACATTCTATATTGTTGATGGACACACGACTCCAATGCCATCATGTTGTATTGTCTTGTTCATGTCATCTCCTCAGTCTGAATGGTACAAGGAGTTTGTTAGACATTGGTAATGTATGACATTTGTAATAGGACCCAGACAGTCAGGATGGGGTCTAGTAACAAGCATTGTATAAACAAGTAAGCTATACAATGCTTAGATATGGTGATGACCGTTGCCTCACTCTATGCAAAGACTGTAACGCTTGGGAACCCTTAACGGTGAAGCTTAGGAGTGACGCTTATACCGCCACTAATTCACCACTACTACTTACTATATATAAGAGACAAAGTTCTCTTATCAATAAATAATCACGACTATTCTGATTCATTCCTTCTTCTTGTCTTACATCTCTGTGATCTTCCTCTAAAAACTTATACTACATTAATATGTCACTATACGTTAATGAACAAGAAAGGAGATTCCCTCGGAAACATACAAAGTTTCATGAACTTGAGGTTCTTCACAAACGGCACATCCTTGATTTCGATAAACAAACCAGGTGTTTTCGTATGACGACAGAATCCCATATTGTCTGTGGTTCAATCGCATATAGTGGTAGAGTTGGTCAAGAGCAGACGCACGTGTCCTTTCTGTGTCGTATGAGTTGACGATATCACTGATAGACAAAGCCCAATTGCCCTTTTCTTCAACAATAGCGACAATCTCTCCATTTCTAGTCATTAAATGATCTGGTTCCCCTACGCAGCTTGTGATTTGACGTCGTGCCTTGAATTCAGAAGGAGGAATGAAACACTTGGCAGAGATATTGAGCAAATTGAGCTTGATAAAGGGTTGAAGACTTTGAACTTCTTCGGTGATAACTCTGGGAACAAACACAGGTTTTTGTACTCTTTGAGAATGCTGATGATGATTAGCACCAATCCAATCAACAACGCTTTGCTTAAAATCAGACCACAGGAAAACATGTGTCGGCTTCTTCCAAATTCTGCCAGAGGTGTTGGGTCTTGATACAGGATTGTCATACACCGGTTCAGGAAGAGAACAAACCATATGCTCGTCCATAGTGATAGTATCGCTTAGAGAGCGAATAATCAGTGGATGGTCGTAGGAACCAGTAGGTTGCTGAATGGAGGTCAGGAGAGTATTCCCAGGAATAGCAGGTTCATCAACAGCAGAGTGGAGAGTGAGTGGCCCATAGTCCTCTGGGATACCAGCAAGTCTTCTAGTTGGTTCAACAACGATGGCTGCAACCAGGTCAGCAACGTCAGTCAGTGGCCTTCTTCTCTCTAGTTCTCCATTGAAGTGGGTTTCGATTTCCACTGGCTGGTAGTCCAGATATTTAATGTAAAACCTTTCATTTTCCATTGGAGTTTACTGGAGAGAAATGAAAGAAAAGATATGGAATAGAATAAGAATGAAATTGAATGTAATGAAAAAAAGAAAAGAAAAAATCTGACTTTAAATCCAAAACTCGATATCATGTGAATAATGTGAAACAAATTCACACTTTGAATAGTGTTTAGACATTTGTCATGTGTTCATTTGTATTGTTCAATCAAGTGTCAATTCAACTCAATTGATTACATTTTAATATTCAATTATTGTTAATCAGTCAATTGTTGGATTAGTAAATATGTTACAAAACATTCATTTACATGCTGAATCTGACAAGTGAATAATGATTGTTCCAATCAACAATTGGATTGAATTGACTGCAATATTTTCATTGATTACAGTCACTGTTGACCAATACATTGTAATACATTGACAGTCTCAATATCAACATTGTCATTCATGTCAAGTTGTGTGTAGTTGCCAACATCACACCACAACAATAATGTGTCAACTTTCGAGTCCTGTGATACACCGTTTCAACCATGACTGGATCGAGGTTGATCACTTGTCAATACACGCACCAGTTGTATAATCGTACAACTGTTGGTTAACCAATGTTTGACTGTCGATATTTGAATCATGAATATTGTCCAACATAATCGTCACTAACATTGTCGTTGTCGTTTGATTGCCTTGTTCTATAAATAATCATTGTAATGTCATTTGTTCAGTTGTTGTTGGTTTATTGAAACCATATCACAATTCTTGATATATTGCACATGATCTTGTAATTGTTGGTGTTGTCTGTAGTAATTCTGTCAATGTATACGAATGGCACTTGTTGCTAATTGGTAGTTGTTTATGATTGATACACAACCGATCAGGTTTGGTGACCATTTTATGCACATATATATTTGACATTATATTGGACTGTTATGTTGTTTGATCCAATAGTAGTATATGTCAGTCATACTATAATACTACAGGTTTGTTGCAATATCCATACAACCTATATCCAAAACTGCACAAACACTGTCATTCAAGATTGATGAGTATGCAATCACAAATGAATCCAACGCATTTTTGCTGTATATAGTTGTATCGGCTGTCGTGTCTGTTGACTTGTCTGTTGACTTGACTAGATCTGATATTACACGGGCTATTCAACAATTGTATTGAATTCCGGTTAGTATCGAGTCATTTGAGTCGTTCAAGTAGTCAAGTTGCTTGGTTTGCAATGTGTTGTGTCCAGGAATCACTTGCAATCAAACCATCACCAAACCACAGGTTAACAACACCAAATGATATATGACTGGTTATATTAACACATTGCAAACACTCGACGAATTAGCCATGAATCAGGTTCAATCATCAATCGCCAATATTGTCAAGCGTGTATTCCTGGTTTAGTTGATGATGATCCGAGTATGCGGTATTCGTCACAGTTTGATTTGGTCCAAACAGGTTTTGTAATGGTTTCAACAATGTCTGATGAATGACATGCTACAATCGCAGTATATTGATATTACCGCATGATACAACTGTTTGGTTGACCAACCGACTCGAATGTTGATGGATTATTATGCCAATCGACTGTTTTGACCCGATATCACCACACTTGACATGCCAACACATGCGACATATGATGGAGTGATGGAAATACTCGAAATACACACAATACAACTCTTGCAGCAGTGTATGAAACTATCAAGCATGACATGCCATGACATGAAGGGTGTAGATTAGACTTGATAACAATGTGTACAATTTGGACTTTTAAATTCGGAAATAGCAGCTCTGTTCCAACATCCCATTGATTGTAAATGTCGATGTTGTTTAACCTTGTACAAATGACCATTTCACATGCAACTTTAGCCTGATATCGAGTATTTTCAAATGAATGCAAGCTTGCGACACTCGCTTGACTCGTTTGGCTCGGGTTATGGCTGATATTTATGATATCGATGCAAAGTTGCATTCCAGAATGAACGTGTATAATCTGATGTGGCCAATCGTTTGGTTTCATTGTTATCAGTCATTGACACCAGTTATTGTGTTGATTGCAAATAGTAGTCCAAGTAATCATGCATAAACAAACACCAGATAGTCACTGATAAACTGATAGTATCCAATGTATACATGACACATTGTATAGTTCCATTTAATTGCCAGCAATGTGTGATTGGATTACTCGAGTCATCAAGCAGTCATCAAACAGTTTTCAAAAACAATCAAGTCATGTCCAATAAACTGTCTGATGTGCAGGTGATTTGGCATTGGTCCGTTGGTCCATTAGTACGATTGTTGGTTGGCAATTCGGACTTGTAAATGACAATTGATTGTTGATTGTTGCATTGGTGTCCATATGTGTCCATATGTGACTCATTGTATACGGAACAGGACTGACAAGTGTGTCTGAATTGATGCCAGATGATACAGCCTATCCAACAAAAAGTAATACATTGATCGTGTTTGCATGGAAATAAGCTTTATAACTTCCACTTCTGAATGTATGAGAATCAACATTCAAACAACGGATACGTCCAATGAGTCTTGCAAATGCATTGATAGAGTGTTGTTGAATAATTCGAGTGTTTACAAATCAGCATCACTGGAAATAGTTACTGTTATTCAGACAGTCACTTGTCCAGACATTACAGTTGTAATACTATCCATGCCTCACCACAGTTGCAACGTTCAGATAGAAATGGCAAAATTAAAACAAGAGCATCCTTCAATATCAGTTTAGTCAAAACATTGGTACTTGTTTGTCTGTAGCCCAATATATTTATCAACTCCATGTCATTCATCAGATAATATTGTATAGATTTTGGCAGTGATATCGACAAGATAATCTGTACTAGGTCCAGTCGTATCCATATCCACAACGCACTCGTCCAATCCAATCTTTTCATCAAGACTATGCAAGAAATTCAACTGCATATAGTTTGTAACAATTCCATACACCGAGTTCAAATGACTAATATCTGCTGCAGCTTTACATCCAATCAAATACTGTGACATTTCCAGTCTCATGTCATCCTTGCTTGCTTCAGTAATATAAACTCTTTCCGCGACGTAAAACATTCAAAGTGACCATGAACCTTTAAGAAATCACCATCCAATCTTTTTCCACTTGTATCTGAACGTTTCGGGTAAAAACAGACAAATGATGAGTGGAGCAATCAAATAAAGTCCGAGACACATTGCCTGATGTAACTGAACCAAAGCATGTTATAGCAAACGACAAATAGTGTGAAATATTGAATTTGTTTTCTGGGATTGTTTTTGACGATTGATGTAACAACTAGTTTGCAGCACAGGCTTGACCTGATTCCAACAAACATACATACAAGTGTTGAATCAGTGAGGGTTGACTTTGTTCTTTTCAAGTATTTGATCGAGTTGCTCTCATACTTTTTTGTTTAGAATGGGATATTTTAAAGCTCGATTCAGACAATGGCGACTCCAGTTGTGAGATATTTGATCCGACGTTGATTACAAGTTGCTGTAATTGTAATGAATAAATGATGATTTCCAGTATTTTGAACAATAAATGGGCAGTATGGTTGTAAAGGAGGTCCTCGATCAGTCAGTCAAAGTGAGAGTTGGTCAGCACTGTAATAGCCAAGTCTTGATGATAACTCATTGTTTAATTTAAAGTCATCACATCTGTGCAGTCTTGTAGAAACTCTTGCGTTGTTTCACCCGAGTTTGATTCAGAGTTGTCATTTTTGTGGAATCGGTGTCGCAAAACGTAGCAAATCTATAGCTGATAATTCCAACTGCCATTCAAATTGAAATTCAGTTTTATAGTTTATATGAACAAACAAATATCATTCGAATGAACTGGTGTTGTATGGTGCTATTGATATACTAGTAGCATGCTTTTGATCGTACTCGATAACATAAATACAATACAAGACTCTACCTGTTGAATGACAACTTGCTTGGATCCAGTAAAACGACACTCTAGTTGTTTACTGTAATAGTCTGTCACTGTAGTTAGTGTTCAGTATATGCGACACTAACTCAGTGTGACTACAAATACTGGATCCAGTCTGTTGACAGATTTTAATCCAGATGATCTAGATGATGTATATGTAGTTGACTCTAGTCCAATTCTAGTCCAATTCTAGTTCAATTCTAGTGAATGGAATGTTTTAATCACAAGTTACGCAGCAAATGGTCATGATGCCAACATAACAAGTTTAGTGTTCAACTTGACAGTGACTGAACCTATTGTTCATTATGAATTGGCAACTCGGCGAGTGAGAACCTTGCCGATTTAGAGCATGAATGCCGGAAACCAACAACAATCCAGTCCGATTCACAAGACTCGACTTGAGATTGAACATCAAAAACACTTGGGTTGCGACAAATATGGTTTGGAAATATCAGTTTTACAAAACTGGATTCAAGCAACACTACTTGGATGTTGTTCAGTCTGGTATAACTTGACCATATGATGCATCTCGGATCAACTGGTAATGCAGTGGTTTGATTCGGTTCGTTCTACAATGTTGTATTTCAATGATTGTCACAATCTGAGCATGGTGCAGTTGCTCAAGATTCTGGTGCTGAACAACAAACTCTTGAACCAGACCCGACACATTGCTACAGCTCAAAGTGGACCATCAACAGTCTCGAGTAGGATATGCTACAATCCAGCGTGTATTGCATGATGGTTTACTTATTTATCTTGCATTCAATCTCATCCATTCAATAACATCATTCATTACCAATACAATGACACGACACGACATGGCATGCTTGAATTGATCATATTGCACTAATCACTACTATACACTGAATTGATCTACCGGACCCATCAAAACCCATATATTTGTGATTGATCAACATTACGATATTCAAAATGTACTGTTAAAAACAGCTGTTTTTGTGCAACAGCAACCAATACAACTAGGTTTACTCATCATGTTCAACATCACTGTTTGTGTTTTTGTCGTCCGATTTACAGCTACCAGCAGTGTGTGATTCAATGATGATCCCAATATACTTGTAGCAACGTGAACAATAGTGCTGTTTTTGTTCCATAGCAAGCGTGTTGTGCATTTTGAATGTAGCGGTATTCATGTTGGAAATCAAAGACTATTATGAAACTAGAGACTCGGCAGGTGTAGTAATAAAGCTGGTTGTTTATTACAAAGGTATGCATTGATCCATTTATAGCTGATATGATGTACGTCATTGCGCACATCATCCAACTTTGTGTCGTACATTGCAATGGTTCCATAATGCAATGTTCTCAATATACACTACTTGAAACACCAAAACTGTCAATTATAACAGTGTAGACAAGGCACCAAATGATACCAGTTTTGTTGGCCAATAATTACTATTAGATTTGTCCAAGCTTGTCAAAAACAACAATCTACCAAAAATAGGTCATTATGAACAAAAGTCTCGAGGTGCAACAGTGGATAGTCTGTAGTTTGAATGATGGATAGTTTTGTGCAATATTCATACTCGATAGCACAATGGACATAATGAACACGATTGGATTGTTGTATATCTTGCCCATAATTGTAACAATATCCTTGAAACTGGATAGATTGTTAAATGATTGTGTAATCATTACTGATATTTATCCAAAAACAACTTGCTCAATTCGATCGAGTTATTATAGATTTGTACAAATTAATAAATATATTTATTGGGAGGAAATATCAATGCTCATTAAATAATAACCCTGTCATTGATCTCAAAGAAAATAACAACTCCATCCATATCAGGCTGGTCGCACGGAAGACCCTTGATTGGTTCAAGCAAAGTGTTGGGCTTTGAAGCGTCAATCTTGTAGTAAGCCTTTTTTAGAACATGGCCTTTTCTTTGGAATTGAATTTCAAACGATGGAGCTGGAGGATTAAAGTACGAATCTTGAAGTTTTCGTGTAAAAACTAGTTCCACCTCTGCTGCTTCAGGAATCCTATCAATGATATTCACCATTGTTTCAAGGCTGATTACACCTTTGTGATCTTTGGATTCTCCAAAAAGTCCACAGGAAGTCTTCAAATCAAT